ATAACAACATGTAGGCTGTTAATGTTGCAGACATTAAAATAGTTTAATTGGGGTTTCTAGCATGGTATTAAGCTATATTCATTATATTTTGATTGAAAGGATAAAGTTAAATATGAATTTATTTAACTTAATGACTGTATTCTCCTATCAACTGTTGCTGCGCACTGTTGCAGTTGCATCGCGCACAGTCACTTCAAAAAACAAAATAATCAATTAAACAACCCCCAAAATGCTTCAAACACTTTTCTAAATAATCTTAATATTGAAAGTAAACGAAATATACCCAGACAAGGTCGGAGGTCTATATGTGCAGTTATAGACCTCCGACCTTATCTAAGCACTTTTAATGGCATAAGTGGGTATATTTCGTTTCCTTTCAATATTAAGATTATTTAGAAAAGTGTTTGAAGCATTTTGGGGGTTGTTTAATTGATTATTTTGTTTTTTGAAGTGACTGTGCGCGATGCAACTGCAGCGCCTGATATTGCAAATTGTAGGTGGTTGGTCTATTAACAAATAAACACGACTATCCAAGCCTAAGCTACAAACACGAACAAAACAAACCTTATCACAGTGTTTATGAATGGGATCAGTAAAATGTTGTAGCGACCCTACAGTGAACGTTCTGTTGTAACGTCAATGTTCTGTGAGCGGGGTGCGAGAGTGAGTGCGCGTGCTTGTGTGTGTGGAGCGAGCTGGAGGAGAGAGCAGCAGTGCATGGTTCGAGTTAACGTTACAGCTAAGTCCTTGTTTTGTGGCTGTTTTGGCGTGGTTACGGCCAACAGTAACCTGTACTGTTCAGTAACAAACGGTGGCTTGCCGAATAACCGCGTCATCCTTCCATACGTCCTGGCGGACGCTACAATGTGGTGGGTGACGTGCAGCGGAGAAGCACAGCGGCTGGTATCATATGTAATAAAACACAGTTTGGTATCACCAGTGTTTAGTTGACATGATACTATACATTTTCTACATTTAACTACTTGTGGTTAAATATAACATTGGTTAATTTTTCTCTTTTCTGTAAACGCAGTCACTTGTAATGAAAGAAATACTCTCCTTAAGACATGACCAGTCATTAGATCAACATTGTGCTTCATACTGTAAAACAGGCTCTAGTTCACAAGCTTAATTCAGATAATTAACAAGAGGATACACATCTCTGCTATCACAAGAGCGGTGGTTCTCAAGCTGTGGGGCAGGCCCCCCTGGGGGGAGCACAGAGCCACTGCAGGTGGGGCGTGGATGACAGGGAGTCCCTGAAGACACTGGGTTTCACTCAGATGGGTGTGGTTTTGCAAGACTTATCAGGAAACGCTTTGGCAACCTCTGCGATCATCGCAACCTATATTAGGATCAGAATATATGTGAGTAGGTCTTTTTTGTTGGACATGATTTAGTCTATCTTAATGTCAGTGTATTTAAGCACTGTTTAGTTGTATATATTTTCCATCAAACATTATTATGGTCACTCTGAGAATGTATCAGCAGTCATGTAAAAATTAAACGAAAATCTGCAGAGAAGTTTTGTTGTGGTTGCATCCATGCAGCAGTACAAGGAGCAAAAATGGAGACATGAATCTTCATAATTTGATGATCACATGAAAATTCATTTCTCATAGTTACATTGACAGTAAATCATAACGAAGGTCTCCTGTGGTTTAAAGGTTCAGTGTGTAGGTTTCAGGGGGATATACTGACAAAGATAGAAAATAAATTTAGTATAAAAGTAGAGCCACTGCTTCCTCGCCTTAAAGGGGTCAGTTGAGGTGATTCGGGCTTCTCATCAGGATGCCTCCTGGGTGCCTCCTGTAAGAGGTGTTCCCGGGCCTGTCCCACAGGTAGGAGGCCCTGGGGTAGACCCTGGACGTGCTGGTGGGATTACATATATCATCTGGCCTGGAAATGCCTTGGGTTCCCCCAGGAGGAGCTTGAAAGCGCTGCTGGGGAGAGGAACATCTGGGGTGCTTTGCTTGGCCTGCTGCCCCCACAACCCGGCCCCGGATGGTTACAATTTTGTTAGCTTATCCAACAACTGACGAGATGACCCAATGTGAGCTGACGAGAATGCACATCAGGCACACTACACTCTGTGTTATACAGGATGCAAGACACCACCCCCGGGTGAAACCCCATGTGTTTAGGTAGTCCCGTGGACAATTAGGGGGAAAAAAGGAGCCAAACAAATTTGAATGAATATGTAGGGAAAATAAACAAACAAGAGTTTGCAGATGCTGTCATGCTGAACTTTATCTCACTAAAATTCAACACTAATCCTGTTTTAGTGGTTGCTTCCCAAATTACTGTTAATTATTGATCTAAAAGTGTTGGTTGGGAGGTCATGAACTTTTTCTACCTCTGAAGGGGGGCATGACAGAAACATATTGAGAACAACTTCATTAGAGCCAACAGTAACATGATTTTCTCAAAGTAATGTCACATGTCCAGTCAGTCATGGACCCATCTCCGCATACACACAGCCTGTCCAGTCTTGTTCAAATTTCAGTGCGGAACTGAAGTGTGGGGTCCGTCATCTTTTTCTTGTAGTCTACATCGAACTCTTCATTCTGGGAAACAGTGAAGTGGTTCTTCCAGTCACCAACTTTACCTGAAGAACCACAGAGAGAGTCAGACAGGTGCATTAGCTGAAGGTGGAGATCTGATTCTTTTGTTCTTGTCACACACTATTATCAATTTATTCATCAGGTTACCTTTCCTCATGAAGTGAGAGATTTTGAAATCCATAACTGGGTTTGAAGAATAGTTGGCCATGTCGTCCTTTTTCATATTATCAAACTGTGATCCACCTGTGACTCTTTTCTTCTCCTCGTCTGAACGAGACAAACCAAGAAAGCTGCACAGTTTGTCTACTTCCCGTCCAGTGTCCTGGAAACACAGTGGTTTAGATATTATCATTACACCGTTAGCAAAGTAGCCTAAGCAGGATTAGACGCCAAAAAAACAACTACATCACCTCGACCATATCTTCGTAGAACATGTAATGGAGTTTTGGATAACTCTGTTTCTTCTTCCACCAGCCGCTTACATGGTCGTACCAGGATCCAAACACCACTGAGGCCACAGAACAATAAATGAAAGCACTTCAGTCGTGTTCTGTAGAAATCGATGCATCTCTGTACCAATAAAAAAGACTGCATTATTGCAGTATTTTCTACATACTCTTTCCCTCCATGAATCTGTGGATGTAGTTGCTCCAGTCTCCAGGCTCTGGCTCAACCATGTTCATGGAATCGAAGTGAAAATAAGACACCATGTTGTCTTTGGCATTGCGGGCCACGTAGACCATCTACAGAAGAAGAAAAAACAAGTGTAACAGCAAGTGTTTGTTGTAGGTCGACTGCTTCTCTTTGTAATCATTCAGCTTCTAAATGAAAGATGTGTCCGTATCTTGTGATAATGCATTGAAATAATACAAATAAGACACAAACTACTGACCCTGCAGTTTTGCTCCCAAAATGACTTTGGCACAAACTGAACTGGAAAATGAGTCTTAATGAGTCGAGGAGAGGTGGGGAGGTTGTCTGCCAGGTCTTTTCCTATACAAAGAAATAAAAATAGAGTAAGAAGTGAAGAAGTGCTGCATTTGACACGAGTGACCACTAAATATTACTAGTGTGGCTGGAAAACTAGGTGGGACACTCTGGCACAGTACTAAACTAGTGTAATTCCTACTTAAAAGATATGGACTACTCTGTGTCTACAGGTAATTGTACATCTGAGCGTACAAAATTACATGCAGAGTCTCCAGGGCTCTATTCTGGGGCCTCTTCTGTTTTACATCTACATGCTTCCACTGGCTCAGATTAAGGGGAACTACAAAATATGTTACGATATGCAGATGACTCACAAATTTACATAACCATATCACCAGCAGAAAATGGTCCGGTACAAGCTCTGACCAAGTGTACTGCACAAATGAGCAATTGGATGTGCCATAATTCTTTTCAAGTAAACAAAGACAAAACTAAGGTAATTGTTTTTGGAGTCAAGGAAGAACAATTACAAGTCAATGCTCAGCTTCAGTTGGCAATATTAACTACAGATGATTACAAAGTCAGTCTACTATAACCTTAACTTTTTCCCTGCCATTTACAAGATTTTCCACCATTTATGACCCAGCCCTTCCCCACCATTGACGAGATATTCTGTCAATCCATGTTTTCACTGTTACAAGATAGGGGGCGCTGGTACACATCTTTTGAAATAGAATAGCACTGCCATGTCCAAAAACAAATGAAGAAGAAGATATGCTGGAAAGTGCAAGAAGATGTTGTAACTTGTAAACTACACAAAAATGCCAGCGCAGACTGTGATAGTCTGGCGGCTTGTCCAGGATGGACCCAGCCTTTGACCCAACGTCAGCTGGGATATGCTCCAGCCCCCGTATGACCCCAAACAGGATAAGCGATTAGGTAAAATGAATGAATGAATGAATGAATGAATGAATGAATGAATGAATGAATATTCTGGGTGAATGTATGAGTATGAACTGGATTCGTAGTACAGGCCTCTGACTTCTCAGATCTCAGTCTGCTGCAACTCTCCTTTCTTTTAGATTAATTAAGACTTTTTTGTTTGCCTCTGCCTTTTATTAAATCAAATATTTGATTATTATAACAGTTTTATTATCATTATTATTATTATTATTATTATTATAACACTGCACCGTAACTTTTATTTTATTGCTTTTGATGTTTTCTGAATTGCTTTATGCTACATAAATAAACTTGCCTTTCTTAAGAAAATCTGATGCTGTAAAGTGCTGAATTGTTTTTTGACTGTGGTAAATAAAGTGTTCTGCGACACAAACCTTTCATATACAGTGAAAACATTTACTGAAGTTTACACAAATGGTAGAAAATGAGGTTTACTGAGGGTTTAATAATCATTTGTATGTTTGTGATGCATGTGTGTGAAATATGGAGAGTTTATTTGATCATCTTTTTGACCTGAGCCTAATGATGGGAAGATGAGCTCCAAGAAAGGCACTCTGTCAAAGATTGGAACCGTTCTCTGACGCTCTGTCTGACCAAAATACAGCAGGTCAAGGATGTAGGAGACCCATGTGGTTCCTGAAAGAAGACAGACAGAGACACAGAGAGGAAATAAAATTATCTCAACCCCTCACCTCTATGCTCACATCTTTTATAAGCTATAAAATATTTACACTGTTGTTCATGTTTATAGACTGACCTGCTTTAGGGTATGTTGCAATAAGTATATCATCTGGCCTGGCCTGGAAGTTTTGAACATTCTCCCAGTTGTCTGTGAAATAGTGGGTCATTGAGACTCCATGGAAGTCAAACAGTTCTGGTCGAGGGGGTAACTCCATGTTTAAAAGAAAGAAAGAAAGAAAGAAAGAAAGAAAGAAATGAACCAAAACATACAAAGTATACGTTCACTGTGTGTGTACTTAGTCTACAAGCCAATACTTAGGCTATTTGCATTGCTTTACATGCTTAGCAAGAAATGAACTCCACTTGAAAGAAAAGGCCAATGTAGCTTTTTGAAAAAGACTTTAATTTAGAGACATACCGATCCGGGCTCAAATGACATGTTGAACACTGCTGGTTTCTCTGCTGTATTTCTCACCCCTTTCTCTTCTCTTGCTGTAGTTTTTGTCAGACTAGCAAGCAATTCTGTCCTTCCTCTCTCTTCTCATTGCATAACACTCTCTCTATTGTAACTGGAGCTCAGTCCCAGATTTGATTCTTTACTCTAGCCCCTCCCCTTTACAAACTTCCTGGGCATTTACCCTTTATTCCCCAGCTCTCAGAAACATACAGAGCATGCATGGTGTATGTTACCATGTACCTAATTTGTCAAGAATCAACTTTTGTTTTTGATTCAGTGTGTTAAAGTTTAACACACGAGTGGGTACAAAACAAACAGGGGCATGCTTGGATCACAAATTTGAGCAGGAAAGATATAACAGTCAGCCTCAGCAACAGTAATCCTTAAAAACAGGTTTTACTGTCATACTCTGATCACACTCAGAAGAAATGATGTTCTATTGCAAATACCGAAATATGGATCGGAATGAAAATCTTTGGATTTACATCAACGATCACACTAATCTCTTGGTCTCATTGGAGAATGTCAGTGTAAATGGTGTCGTCACATAGCTGCTCTTTAATTACACACTGAGGAATGAAATTCCATATTTGTTAACTCCCCTGTCTGTTAAACCATGTGAGCATGTCGAAAACATGGATGTGATTTTAGACACTTATCTTAACTATCAGAAGCACATCGCTAATATTTCTAAGAACGCCTTTTTAGACCTCAAAAATATATCAAAATTTAGATGCTTCATGCCTCAGTCAGACTCTAAAAGGCTGGTTTATGCTTTTTTTCTCAGCAGGCTGGATTACTGTGATGCATTTTTGCTGGACTGACAATGCAGACATTAGATAAACTTCAGCTTAATCAGAATGCAGCAGCCAGAGTTTTAACAAAAACTAAAAGGTCTGACCACATAACTATATTATATTCTCTTCTGGCTCCCAATAAAACAAAGAATTGATTTTAAAATACTTCCTATTGTTTATAAATGTTTTAATGGTTTAGCTCCCTCCTATGTTGCTGACATGATCACAGAGATCACACCAGAGAGATCCCTTAGATCATCAAATACAGGTCCACTCATTGTACCTAAAATCAACTCTCAATCAGCTCATGGTGCTTTTACTCATTATGGTCCTAATCTCTGGAATTCTCTTTGACATGAACTATGGTTTGCTATAACACTGTTCTCTTTTAAAAGCAAACTAAAAACATCTTTTTTTGCAACCTTTTAGTTAGGTTTTTAAGTGTATTTTTACTTGGTATAGGAATTATTAATATTATAATTATCTCCTCTTTTTAAGAATAATGATAATAATACCTTCTTATTTTGTTTGTTTTTATCATGTCTTGCTTGTTCTAAAAAGTCCCATACCCACTTAAAGGTCCAATGTGTGGAATTTGGGGCATCCATTGGCAGACTTGGTACATCATTAGTCTGGGCAGCTAAGCTGCCAGGACACTATTGTAATCCTAGGTATTTTTCTTCTTTCTTCTTTCTTCTGCCAGGGAAATCATACTTCCCATGGGTGAAAACTCACCAAACTTTGCACAAAGGTCCAGTCTCATGCCAGATATCCTCAGCTGTAAACTCAAGCCAATAGTCCTGTAACTGTAAACGGTACTGTAAACATATACGTACAAATTCTTGCTAAATAAATCTTCAATGTTCATGTAAAAAAATGACAAAATTCTAGAGGTAGATGATGTGTGGCAAATTTCAGAATTTTATCTCAAAAACTGAATTTGTGACAGCATTTTGAATTTTGCTTTAATGTGAACAATTGGAGTCAATGTACAAATGGCAATTTTAAACATCAGTTTTTCACTTACGGAGCAAAATCAGTCATTGTTACAAACAAATTACCAACATCTCCATGCTGTCTAGATGCAATATGTGTATTTTCAGATTTTTGTTTCGATAACTGAATTTTGAAATCTGCTTTTCCATGCATGGACGGCTGCTAAACCTGCACGTCTGGCTTTGTGAAGCTACACATGAATAGTCACTGACTAATTAGCTCAGTGAGACAGAAATTGATTCTTAGTCTCAGAGGTTGTGAGTTCAAGCCTCAGCTGATACAAAAGGCAGATTGTGTTGCTAAATTCCTAAATGTCTTCCAATTCTTCTGCTTGTTGCTCAGAATTGCCTAAAAATGCCAGGACCCAACCCATCGCTGTGCAGCAGCTATAATATTGAAAAGTATGTTTTCATGAAACGACCTGAAAATAAGAATTGTTTTCTTTGTGTTACCTCAGAATGAGTCATTGAGATCTACACACAGAGTTGGTCCCCCTCCATGGAGTCCGCCATGTTGTTCTACAGTAGCCCAGAACAGACACTGGCTGTCAAAAACTGGCTCTATAGGGCCGTTAGTATTTTTCTGTCAGTCACTGTGGTTCGCCTACATGCTTTACTCACAGGTTTCACTTCTGCAACCTCTCTGCTCAGTGCTGCTAAATCCTACACACTGGACCCTTAAGAAATGATCAGTATCAATACTGGTATCATTAAAACTGTAGCAAAAAGTATCGGTATCATATTGAAATAAAAATGGATTGGTATTGCCCCTGCCTAGTGGACATGATACTATACATTCTTTTAATTAAACTAAGTTAGTTTAAATACATCATTGATTATTTTTTGTTTTCTGTACGTACAGTTAGGGTTGGGGGATATGGATGAAATCAAATATATTTTTAAACAAATACCTCAGTCATGATGCAACGATGTTGTGGGGTTGATTATCAATGCTTTTTAAAAATATTTACAAAATGGGATTTTTGTTAAATAATCATCAGTAATGTGGAGATAATGACTAAATGGGTAAAGGCAAATAAGCAAGACCAGTCTGGTAAGTTCAGAAAATTACATCACTTTACTGTAAAGCAGCATTTAAAAGCAGGTTAAAATCAACACTTACAATATTATGATATCCAAAATCTCAATATGTAGTCGCATATCACAAAATCAGTGTATTATCAATATATTCCTCAGCAATCTCTTGTTATGAAAAAAAAATTCACCTTCAGACATGATCCATCATTTAATTTTTACCATGCTTCATAGAATATCATTCACAGCCTTAATTCATATAATCAATAAGAAGATATACGCCACACATCTACTATCACATTAGAGGCAACAGTAACTTGATTTTCTCAAAGTAATGTCACATGTCCAGTCAGTCATGGACCCATCTCCACATACACACAGCCTGTCCAGTCTTGTTCAAATTTCAGTGCGGAACTGAAGTGTGGGGTCCGTCATCTTTTTCTTGTAGTCTTCATCAAACTCTTCATTCTGGGAAACAGTGAAATGGTTCTTCCAGTCACCAACTTTACCTGAAGAACCACAGAGAGAGTCAGACATGTATGTTTGCTAAAGGAGGAGATCTGATTCTTTTGTTCTTGTCATTGTATCAATTTATTCATCAGGTTACCTTTTCTCATGAAGTGAGAGACTCTGAAATCCATTACTGGGTGCAGTGAATAGTTGGCCATGTCGTCCTTTTTCATATTATCAAACTGTGATCCACCTGCAACTCTTTTCTTCTCCTCGTCTGAACGAGTCAAACCAAGAAAGCTGCACAGTTTGTCTACTTCCCGTCCAGTGTCCTGGAAACACAGTGGTTTAGATATTATCATTGCATTGTTAGCAAAGTAGCCTAAACAGGATCAGACCCCCCAAAGAATACTACATCACCTCGACCATATCTTCACAGAACATGTAATGGAGTTTTGGATAACTCTGCTTCTTCTTCCACCAGCCGTTCACATGGTTGTACCAGGATCCCCATACAACTGAGGCCACAGAACAATTAATGAAAGCACTTCAGTAGTGTTCTATAGAAATCTTTGCATCCCTGTACCAATAAAAAACTAAATTATTGTATTTCACGCATACTCTTTCCCTCCATGAATCTCTGGACATAGTTGCTCCAGTCTCCAGGCTCAGGGTGAGCCATGTTCATGCGATCAAAGTGAAAATAAGACACCACATTGTCTTTGGCATTGCGGGCCACATAGACCATCTACAGAAGAAGAAAACACTTAAACGATCTAAAGAACTTTATATGAGACATAATATACTTTTACACACCTAGACATGTCTCAAATTCTACTGCTTCTCTTAATCATTACTCAGCCTAGGAATTAGATATGAGTCTCTTCAGCGTCTTATGATCATGCAGTAAAATAATATAAGTAAAATACAAACTACTGACCCTGCAGTTTTGCTCCCAAAAGGACTTTGGCACAAACTGGACTGGAAAATGAGTCTTAATGAGTCGAGGAGAGGTGGGGAGGTTGTCCACCATGTCTTTTCCTAAAAGAAGAGGTAAAGATGCAGTAAGGAAATCTCTGATGCTGTAAAGTGCTGAAATAGTTTCTTGACTGCTACAGTCAGGTAGGTAATGTCTTTTGACACAAACCTTTCAGATACAATGATAATGTTCACGGAAGTTTTATGCAAAAGGTCGAAAATAAGATTTTCTGAAGGTCAAATAAGTGTTTGTATGTTTATAATGAATGTTCATAAAATATGGTGAAGTGTATTCGATTGTCTGTTTGACCTGAAATCAAAGACGGGATGAAAATCTCCAAGAAAGGCACTCTGTCAAAGATTGGAACGGTTCTCTGACGCTCTGTCTGACCAAAATACAGCAGGTCAAGGATGTAGGAAATCCACGTGGTTCCTAAAAGACAGATGGAGACACAAAGAGAGAAGGTGGGGGGGAATAAAATAATCTCAACCCTTCACCTCTTTGCACACACCTTTTATATGCTATAAAGCATTTACACTGGAGTTCATGTTTATAGACTGACCTGCTTTGGGGTATGTTGCAATGAGTATATCATCTGGCCTGGCCTGGAAGTTTTGGATGTTCTCCCAGTTGTCTGTGAAATAGTGGGTCATTGAGACTCCATGGAAGTCAAACACTTCTGGTCAAGGGGGTAACTCCATGTTTAAAAGAAAGACCAAAAGAAAAGAATCAAGCATACAAATAACTACACTGACTCTACAAGTCATCTTTAAAGAGGACACAAGGAGGAGAGACACAACAAGTAGTTAACGGTCCATGAGGACAATGGTGTCATCAAAGATTAAGCTTTCAAATGCATGAAAAAGCAATTATGAAAATATAGCTTTTGCATGTGTTTTAAATGACTTCTCATTTGCTCCGCTTTACAGGTTTAACAAGAAATTAACTCTGCTTGAGAATAAAGCCCAAATTAGCTATTTTTAAAAAAATGCATTTCGACTTTAGATTAATTTAGAGACATACCATGCCTGGCTGAAACGACATGCTGAACGCTGTTGGTTTCTCTGATGTAGTTCTGACTCTTTTCTTTCCTCCTGCTGTAGTTTCTTTGTTTTGTATATTTTTCAGGTAAGTCAACTGCCCTTCCTTTCTACTATCGTTACATAACATTTTCTCTGTTGTCTCTGGTCCAGCCCAGGTGTTTCATAGTATTCCTGCTCCTCTTCTTTCTAGATATCCTGGACATTTACCCTTTATTCCCCTGTCCTCTCTGAAAGTACAGAGCATGCAAGGTATATGTAACCCTATACCTAATTCGTCAGGAATAAACTTTTTTGAGGGGCATGTTTGTATCAAGAAATTGAGCAGGAAAGATGCATAGACAAGAGTCAACCTTAGCAACCTCAAACAGATTTTACTACTTTCATTCTAATTTGTTCGTTCTAACCACTTGAAAATCAAACTAGAAAAATGCATTTTCAACAGAAAATGCAGTGTGAATGCTGAGAGCTGAATGGATTTTATAGCACGGCTAGAAACACAGACATATTAAACAAACTGCTTGAAGAATCTTAAAGCCCAAATGCAGTGCACTGCAGAAGACTGGAGTTCGACCACTGACACTGACGGGTTGTGACCAATCTGCCAGAGTGCAGCACACTATTATGACATGAACTCTCAACTCTGTTGTGCAGTAACAACTGCTGCTGTTGTATAACATTTTTCTCTCTTGGTGAATAACCCATCAACTGGTACAAAACTCAACTCTCCTACTCAGGAAATTGAGCCCCACTGTGCATTCCAATACGCACATTACCATACTATATAGTATGCCAGAAAAAGATTTAGTATGTCCTTATACATAGTATGTCAAATGCAGTATGCCATAAATACCAGGATGTTCTACTACATGCAGTCCGATTTTGCAGTATGCAAGCCAGCATGCTTTTGTGACTATTCTGACACACAATCCTCTGTGCAGCAGACGATACGTCACATCTACTAACCCACAAACAAATGATAGCTGATTAAAAGCTGCAAGAAGCCGCAATGACAGATGACAGCGCATTTAAGTAACTGATGACCAGTTAAGAAGTAATAATAGAAATACTGATTGTTTAAGTGAACAAATAATCATAAATATTACAAACAACAACAGGACATAACTATAAAAATAACAATGACAGAGAACTGCAGATGTAATTTCACTGTCTCAAATATGATAAGTTAGAATCTACAATCTGTGCAGCTACAACACTCAAGTTAAACTACATATATTGTAAAGTAAGGCAAGGCAAGTTTATTTGTATAGCACATTTCAGCAACGAGGCAATTCAAAGTGCTTTACATAAAACATACAGCAAGTAAAAGCAATAAAGGCAACATAAAAAGACATTAAAACAATCAGAAAGAGTTACATTGGAAATAAAATAGTACAATTAATTAAAAAGAGTTTAGTAACAACTGCAGAGCTCTCCAGGTTGACCTCTGTCTCTGGTGAATTTGGTAGGTGGTGTTTCTTTTATCTCCTAGGTAACAGATATCAAAGCAAGCTGATCAAAGTGCAGGCTGTAATGTTTTAAAGGACAACTTCGGTATTTTTCAACCTGGGCTCTATTTCCCCATGTGTATGTGTGCATATGATTCATAGGTACCACTCGTTCTAAAATTGGTTCAGTATTGAGCCGCGAAATGAGCTAAAACGGTAATGGGGGCAAATGCGTCCCGTATAAAAGTGCTTTTTTTCTGCCACTGACCGGTTCAGATCGCCAGTGTTATCTCTGTAGATAGCATATTGTAGCGGCCCTGGGGCAGTGGTGAGTGTGAATAAGTGGAGTCAGCTGTAAGTCAGTGTTGGAGCAGAGAGGCGGAAGGCGTCCCCGCTCGGTATTGTAAATGAGTATGTGTGTGTGAAGTGTGTGTTTTTTCGCCACTGACCGGTTCAGATCGCCAGTGCTATCTCTGTAAATAGCATGCTAACTTAGCCTCTCCCTTACCTCTGGGCTGTGTGATGTCACGAGCTTTGCTCCACTGTGTCTGTAGCTCTCTCTACTCGTGGGACAGCCGTTTTCTTGAGGGAGAGGTGTTTCGGGATTGGATGTCTTCTCTTCTTCGGCTGGCAGTAGTCATCTTGGGAGAAGTGAGCACTGCAGACCCGATGGTCTGCAAGGCGCAGTGTCTGGACAGGAGTGTTAGCGTCCATTTGTAGCACAACTAGCCACAACTTCAGCATCTCGCCGGCCGACAAAGGCAGCCTGTGAAAGCTGTACGGGGTGTTGCGCGACATCCTGTTCTTGCGTTCGGGAAAAAGGCCCGTTTATTTGAGCGCTCCAAAAACTCCAGTAACACTCCAGAGGGTAGCACGTAAAAGACTCCGTCTTCTGACTCTTCTAGTGTAACACATCACACATACATACTCATTTACATTACCAAGCGGGGACGCCTTCCGCCTTTCTGCTCCGACACTGACTGACAGCTGACTCCACTCATTCACACTCACCACTGCCCCAGGGCCGCTACCATATGCTATTTACAGAGATAACACTGGCGATCTGAACCGGTCAGTGGCGAAAAAAAGCACTTTAATACGGGACACATTTGCCCCCATTACCATTTTAGCTCGTTTCGCGGCTCAATACTGAACCAATTTTAGAACGAGTGGTACCCATGAATCATACGCACACATACACATGGGGAAATAGAGCCCAGGATGAAAAATACCGAAGTTGTCCTTTAAGAAGGTAGTGTGTCCCGATTGTGTGCATACTGCATGCAACAGTACGTACTTTTTAAGGGCAGCTGCTGTACCTTCTAAAAGATCCACTTGCACCATTGACACAGCAAAAGCTGTAGTTGTGGTAACAGTAGTGATGTAATTGCCACCCCCAAAACCATGACTGAGAACCAGTGATTGCTGAAGGTGCAATCAATAAGCTGATCATCCAAGCTGATTACAAATGAGCCCTGATGCATTTATGTGTTTAAAAAATGTTTGTCATTGTTGACAGTTGCAGTTCCCAAAATGCACATTGATTTATGCCGAGTGCTGTACCTGCTGAGCTACCAAGATCCTGGTTTATACAAGGGAAAAGATAAAGTCTTAAAAAGGATGGAGGTCCTAACAATTAAAAACATCATGTAAAGACACTGCTGCAGTTGTAATCAAATCAACCACGCCAGCTCCTCCTTTTCATGTTGTATCTAACTTATCAGTGTCATTTCTGTTTGTCATCGGTGCTGCTTTGTTCTGGTCCCGGGGGGTCTTTGCTGCTGCTCTCTCTGCCTTAGGCTTTCCATGTAGGCACATGGAAGGGCAGGGAGGTTTGCCTCTCTGTCTCAGGCTTGCCTCATTTGCACATGGAAGGGCAGGGAGGTGTGCTCTCTCCGCCTTATGCTTTCCACGTAGGCGTGTGGTAGAGGCTTTCTGCGTAGGCCCAAGTAAAGGCAGAGGGGCCCCAGAACAGAGCCATACCACCAAATATAATACTGTGCCAAATATAATACTGCAAATGGAAATAAAGTTTTCTTTGACAAAAGTGTTCCTGACTGAAATACATTTTATTTATAGAGTGCGTTCATGCTACTCAAAGGCACGTTGCATTAGATAAAAACGTTCATAAAAGGAAATACACATTAGAAGCTCTTTTGAAAAGATGAGTTCTGATGAGTGATTTGAGTCAGGAGAGGCTGGTGGAGTCTCGAATGTGTTTGGGGAGAGAGTTCCAGAGGGAAGGGTTGGATATGGAGAAGGCTCTATCGCCCCAGGTTCAGTGCTTGGTCCTGAGTGGTGGAGTCATGGTGCAACGATATTGTTGGGTTGATTATCAGTGCTTTTACAAAATATTTACACAATGAGATTTTTGTTAAATAATCATCAGTAATGTGGAGATAATGACTAAATGGGTAAAGGCAAAAAAGCAACAACAGTCTGGTAAGTTCAGAAAATTACATCACTTTACTGTAAAGCAGCATTTAAAAACAGGTTAAAATCAGCACTTACAATATTATGATATCCAAAATATTAACAATATGTAGTCTCATATCACAAAATCAATATATTATCAATATTTAGCTTGGCCAAACATACAATCTCTTGTTATGAAAGAAATATTCACCTTCAGACATGATCCATCATTTAATTTCCATCATGCTTCATAAAATATCGTTCACAGCCTTAAGAAAATTGATAAGATTTTACTTCATTTCTACTATCACATTAGAGGCAACAGTAACATGATTTTCTCAAAGTAATGCCACATGTCCAGTCAGTCATGGACCCATCTCCACATACACACAGCCTGTCCAGTCTTGTTCAAATTTCAGTGCGGAACTGAAGTGTGGGGTCCGTCATCTTTTTCTTGTAGTCTTCATCAAACTCTTCATTCTGGGAAACAGTGAAATGGTTCTTCCAGTCACCAACTTTACCTGAAGAACCACAGAGAGAGTCAGACATGTATGTTTGCTAAAGGAGGAGATCTGATTCTTTTGTTCTTGTCATTGTATCAATTTATTCATCAGGTTACCTTTTCTCATGAAGTGAGAGATTTTGAAATCCATAACTGGGTGCAGTGAATAGTTGGCCATGTCGTCCTTTTTCATATTATCAAACTGTGATCCACCTGCAACTCTTTTCTTCTCCTCGTCTGAACGAGTCAAACCAAGAAAGCTGCACAGTTTGTCTACTTCCCGTCCAGTGTCCTGGAAACACAGTGGTTTAGATATTATCATTGCATTGTTAGCAAAGTAGCCTAAACAGGATCAGACCCCCCAAAGAATACTACATCACCTCGACCATATCTTCATAGAACATGTAATGGAGTTTTGGATAACTCTGCTTCTTCTTCCACCAGCCGTTCACATGGTCGTACCAGGATCCCCATACAACTGAGGCCACAGAACAATTAATGAAAGCACTTCAGTAGTGTTCAATAGAAATCTTTGCATCTCTGTACCAATAAAAAACTAAATTATTGTATTTCACGCATACTCTTTCCCTCCATGAATCTCTGGATGTAGTTGCTCCAGTCTCCAGGCTCAGGGTGAGCCATGTTCATGCGATCAAAGTGAAAATAAGACACCACATTGTCTTTGGCATTGCGGGCCACATAGACCATCTACAGAAGAAGAAAACACTTAAATGATCTAAAGAACTTTATATGAGACATAATATACTTTTATACACTTAGACATGCCTTAAATTCTACAGCCTATTAATTAGATATGAGTCTCTTCAGCGTCTTATGATCATGCAGTAAAATAATATAAGTAAAATACAAACTACTGACCCTGCAGTTTTGCTCCCAAAAGGACTTTGGCACAAACTGGACTGGAAAATGAGTCTTAATGAGTCGAGGAGAGGTGGGGAGGTTGTCCACCATGTCTTTTCCTAAAAGAAGATGCAGTAAGAAAATCTCTGATGCTGTAAAGTGCTGAAATAGTTTCTTGACTGCTACAGTCAGGTAGGTAATGTCTTTTGACACAAACCTTTCAGATACAATGATAATGTTTGCTGAAGTTTATGCAAAAGGTAGAAGATAAGATTTTCTGAAGGTCAAATAAGTGTTTGTATGTTTATAATTAATGTTAATAAGTGTTTTCGATTGTCTGTTTGACCTGAAATCAAAGATGGGATGAAAATCTCCAAGAAAGGCACTCTGTCAAAGATTGGAACGGTTCTCTGACGCTCTGTCTGACCAAAATACAGCAGGTCAAGGATGTAGGAGACCCATGTGGTTCCTAAAAGACAGATGGAGACACAAAGAGAGAAGGTGGGGGGGAATAAAATAATCTCAACCCTTCACCTCTTTGCACACACCTTTTATATGCTATAAAGCATTTACACTGGAGTTCATGTTTATAGACTGACCTGCTTTGGGGTATGTTGCAATGAGTATATCATCTGGCCTGGCCTGGAAGTTTTGGATGTTCTCCCAGTTGTCTGTGAAATAGTGAATCATTGACACTCCATGGAAGTCAAACAGTTCTGGCCGAGGGGGTAACTCCATGTTTAAAAGAAAGAAAAGAACCAAAACATACAAATATCAGCGTCTACAAGTCATCTTAAAAGAAGGGGAGACACAACAAGTAGTTAACGGTCCGTAAGGACAACACTGGTGCTGCTGAAGAAAAAAAAGTTGAATATTCAAATGAATGATAAAGCAATTACGAAAATACAGCTTTTGCATGTGTTTTAAATGACTTCATGCTGAGTCAGTTCTCATTTGCTCCACTTTACAAGCTTTGAAAGAAATGAACTCCACTTGAGAGAAAACGCCCAATTTAGCTCTTTAAAAAAAGCCTTTTAGACTTAAGCTTAACTTTGAGACATACCAAGTCTGGCTGAAACGACATGCTGAACGCTGTTGGTTTGTCTGCTTTAGGTCTGATTCTTTTGTCTCCTCCTGCTGTAGTTTCTTCGTTTTGTTTTGTTTTTCAGATAAGCAAACTGCCCTTCCTCTCTACTGTCGTTGCATAACACTTTCTCTGTTGTCCAGTCCCACATGTTTCATAGTATTCCTGCTCCTCCCCCTTTCCAGATTTCCTGGACATTTACCCTTTATTCTCCTGTCCTCTCTGAAAGTACAGAGCATGCAAAATATATGTAACCCTATACCTAAATCGCCAAGAGTAAACTCTTTGAGACAGTATGAAGCATGCAGGGACATGTTTGCAGCATGGTATTATGACATAAATTCTCTGTTGGGTTGTGCAGTAACAACTGCTGCTGTTGTATAACATTTTTCTCTCTTGGTGAATAACCATCAACTGGTACAAAACTCAACTCTCCCACTCAGGAAATTGAGCCCCACTGTGCATTCCAGTACCTATACTACCATACTATATAGTATGCCAGAAAAAGATTTAGCATGTCCCAATACATAATATGTCAAATGCAGTATGCCAAAAATACCAGGATGTTCTACTACATGCAGACTGACTGTGCAGTATGTAAACCAGCATGCTTTTCTGGCTATTCTGACCCACAATTCTCTGCACAGCGGACGATAAGTCACAATGACGGATGACAGCGCATTCAAGTAACTGATGACCAGTTGAACAGTGATAACAGGAATAGGTATATATATTACAAACAATAGGACATAACTATAAAACAACATAGACAGAGAACTGCAGCTGTGATTTCACTGTGGCAAAGGTTAGAATCTAAAATCTGTGCAGTCATAACTTTGAAGTTAAACTACATACATTGCAAAGTAACAACAGCAGAGCTCTCCGGGTTCGACTCCGTCTCTGTGAACTCTGTAAGTGGTGTTTGTTTTATCTCCTAGGTAATGGATATAAAAGCAAGAGGGTCAAAGTCCAGGGCATAACGTTATGACAAGGTAGTGTGGCCCGATTGTGTGCACACTGCATGCAACAGTGCCTGCTGTTTAAGGGCAGCTGCTACTAAAAGTAAAAAAATAAAGTATGCAAATCGGCCCCCACCCCCAGTCTCCCACGAGACAGGGGTAGGGGTAGAGTTGGGATCCATTGCACCATTGAAACAGCAAAAGCTGCAGTAGTAGTAGTAGAAGTGATGTAATCTCCACCTCCAAAAACCATGACTGAGAACCAGTGATTGCTGAAGGTGTAATCGATAATCTAATTATCACAGTTGATTGAAAATGAGCTCTAATGCATTCATGCATATAGACCTTAAAGTTGAATTAAACACAAAGGGTGCGTTCTAAATCACATAGGCCTACTTTTTCTTTTTACTTCAAGTAGGTACTGCAGCTGCCAGAGACAGATGTCATTCGGAGGCCTCTGCTGTTGTTATTTTGCAAGTAATAACTGCACATTGTAGATTATAACCATTCATTGCTGTGTCATTGTTAATTAATACATATGCCCTTTTATTGTTGGTTACATTTATGATTATTTTATTCAATTAAACAACTAATATTCCTATTATTACGAATCAACTGGTCATTAGTCACCCAAGTAGGCTGTCATCCATCATTGTGACTTTTGAAATCGATCTTTTCTGCAGAGGATTGTGGGTCAGAATGGCTGAAAAGCATGCTGGCTTACATACTGCAACATGTGACCGGATGTAGTAGAACATCCTTGTATTTTGGCATACTGCATTTGACATACTATGTATTGGGACATACTATATCTTTTTCATACTGTATAGTATGGTAGTATGGGTACTGGAATGCACAGATAACGTTTCTCATTGTTGACCATGCAGTTCCCAAAATACACACTGATTTATGCCGAGTGCTGAGCTACCAAGATCCTGGTTTATACAGGGGAAAAGACTGACTATTAAAAACATCATGTAAAGACACTGCTACAGGTGATATCAAATCAACCAGGTGAAGTTTAAGACAAGGATCATTTCTGGACAGACCAGAATTTGAACGTGGTGGACGATTGGCTCGCGCTGTATTCACTGCACTACAGAGCAGTCCAATTATTTGAAACAAGACAGAGGTCCACAAACCATCAGAAACCGATGCAGATGAAGTATTACTTTGAGGCAGTAATAATTCAGTCTTGAATGTGTTCGGGGAGAGAGTTCCAGAGGGAGGGTGTGGCTATGGAGAAGGCTCTGTCGCCCCAGGTCTGGTGCTTGGTCCTGACTGGTGGAGTCAGGAGGTTGGCATCAGAGGAGCAGAGGCTGCAGGAAGGAGTGTGAGGTAGGGCTTGGTTATGGAGGCCTTTGTGAGTGAGGAGAAGGACTTTGAATTGGATGTGTTGTGGGACAGGGAGCCAGTGGAGGTTCTGAAGAATGTGATCGCAGGAGTGGGAATCGGTGAGCAGATGGGCAGCAGAGTTCTGGATGTACTGGAGTTAAAAAAAAAAAAGCTTAACACTTTAAAAAGTATAAATGCTGGTCAAAAAACTAAAAACAAGCACATATGTCCTTGATAAACATTTAGACATTTGAATGCAAAATGCATGTGGAAGAAAAGTAATAAAGCTCTGCATAACAATAGTGTGAAGCTGTGACAGCATTCAGACTAAATGGTCTTCAATTGTTTTTCAAAAAGCTTTGAGCCTCAACATGCTGCATGGACGTCAAAAACAATGTCAGCCACTTGAGAATTGCTTGCACAGCGTGCAGGTTTTTTTTAATTCGAAACATATGGCATTCTTTCCCCTTTAAAGTGGCTTTGAGGTCGCACTAAATGAGACAAAACACAACAAAGCTTCTTTTCTTTTTTTTTGCAGTGTTCTTCTTACATCTGCAGCTCTGCTCTGGCAAATTGAACGCCACAGTTCATTTTGTGCTAGAGAACCACCCTTTCCCCAGATATGTGTAGATAAAGAGTCTTGGCCTGTTTTCAAAAATACTCCCAGCAGCCTGGAGAGGAAGTAGAAAAGAAACTGAAAAATCCTTCCATGAGCACTTACCAAACGGTTATGTATATATGTGAAAATGTCGCAACCATTTGATGAAACTTCCACAATATTTTGAGAAAGAGATTCACCATGTGACACGCCACACACCAAGTAGAATTAGACCTCTGGCAAACAGAGTGAAGAAACAAGAAGTTGAGGCAGTGAGTTGAGGGAAAGAACAGTCTTTCAAACCCTGGGCTTTTTTAATGTTGCACAAAAGTAGAGTATCTTTACTGAAAGACATAATCAGACAGAATGGGCCACGCAGCTGAAAAAACACTGACTTGTCTATGTATACTTTATATTTAAGTTTATTTCATTTCACAGTGTTCATTTGACTGCAGTCTCCACCCTCTCATGCGTGAACAGTTAGCAGTAGGAATAGTGAAGTGAAATGTGCCAGATGTTGGGTGAGCATTCCTCAGGAAGCCCAGTGGTCGTTGTTTGCTTATATTTGTCTGATGTTTCCACCTATAAATAGACCCCTGCAGTGGCTATCAGGCTGTGCCATCATAAACCAGATTTAACTTGCCTTTAAGCTGCCTTCAAATCCTTACAAAGAGCAGATATGCAGTAAGACCAAACATCACAATCTAGATCGACAAGCTTTACGAACAGTGGTGGAAAGTAACAAAGAGCATCTACTCAAGTAATAAACCACAATTTTTAAAGTGTTTTCCATGAGTATTTTCATTTTGTTATTTCAGACTTCTACTTTACTATATTTCAGAAGGAATTTGGGAAATATTGTACTTTTTACTCCACTACATTTATCTGTCAGCTTTAGTCATGAATTACTTCACAGATCTTACTATATCATCACGAAAACTCTGTCTGTCTGTCTGTCTGTCTGTGGGTCTGTTCCACGTATTTCTCCTCACTGACTTGGTCAATCCATGTGAAATTTGGCACAGTGGTAGAGGGTCATGTGAGGCTGCGAATGAAGCAGTATTACATCAATTGGCCAAAGGGGGGCGCTATAGCAACCGACAGGCATTGTAAACTTTGAATGGGCATATCTCATGCCCCGTATGTCATAGAGACATGAAACTTTGCACAGAGATGCCTCTCCTCATGAGGAACAAATTTGCCTCAAGAACCCATAACTTCTGGTGCTATAGATTTTCCGCCATTTTGAATTTTTTAAAAAACACTTAAAATCTATCTCTTCCTAGGAAGTTTGACCGATCTGCATGAAACTCGGTGAACATAATCTAGGGACCAATATCTAAAGTTCCCTCTTGGCAAAAGTTGGAAAACTTACTAAAACTGAGCTTCTATAAGGCAATGAATATTGCGGAGGGCGTGGCTCATCACATAAAGCTGTATAACATCTCAAGGGTTTCACCGATCACCACGCAACTTTGTAGGCATATGACCACACATAATCTGAGGGGACCCATCCATTATTGACCCCATCAAACAAAATGGGGGCGCTAGAGAGCTGATTTCTTATCTAGGCCTGACCGCCATATCGATCTTTACTAAAATTGGTAGATATGTAGAACAGGACGCCTCAAGGTGACTGGAGAAATTTGACTCTAATTGGCAACTGGGTGGTGCTATAACAACAGAAAAATGCTTAAAAATGGCTAAAATGCGACCGATCGCTGTGGCTCCCCCTGGCCCAACGTTGTTGTTTTTTTTTTCTAATTTTTGGTATGACTAAGTCATGGTATGGTATGCTATACATAATCCCGGAAACTGTCAGTGTGTCATTCTGTCAGTCAGTCATTCTACCAGTGTGCCCCACTTTTAAGTCAATACACTTTACCTGCTACCTCAACTACTAATGTACAGTTTTAGCCCACTAACTATCCCACTATTGGCAATGGTACTACTGTACTTTCAATAAAGCAATCGTACTATCAAATTCACAAAAACTCTATCTGAATACATTGCTCTCCTTAATGGGTTCAGTTGACTATTTAATCTGCAATTTCCTATGACCTGTATCCCAAACACACACCATGTGAAACTGTACATGGGCAACTGTGCACTCAATGGGTATGGACTAGTTAAATTTAAATTAAAAAAAAAAATTGTATAAATCAATATAATATGCATTACTAAAAAGCAGTGTCTGCTTAGGAGCCTTTATCACAGGTTTCAGATGTCTATGAATTGTCAGC